CCCAGTGAGGCCGAACAGTTGACAGCCCCAAGGCATGGAGGCACGGCAACTTTTCGTGCGAGTGGCCAGGCCAGTCACGGCGGAAGAGTCGTACTGAAGCACCAAACGGCCGGGCGGAGACCAGAGCCCGTCGTTCCAGCGCAAACTGGACCAGATCAAGCAGAGCACGGATCCCATCACCAGGGCATCCCGGGCCGGAGTGTCCGGACACATAACTCGACGTTCCAGCCAAGCAACAAAAGAGACGGAGAACGGCAGGGACTCTCGTCGTTCAATGGGGATGGTGGCGGTGAGGAACGCAGTGCACAACGGAGTTTGCAATTGCGCCGCCAATGAAGGCAAGCCAGCAATGCGCGACATCCAGCTAAGTGACTTGAAGGCCGAAGTCGCAAGTCCGGAGGGGGCGGCGTTCCGGTGAAGCCAATCAGGAACGGTCTGGGAGCCGGGTCGGAACAGCTAAAACCGAAGCGGCGACAGTGCAGAACCCAGGCACTCCAAAGACGCAGATAATAGTGAGGGTAGATGGGGCAAACTTCGCGACCGCCCGGGTTTGGAGCTCACGGGGGGACGGCACCAGTTTCGTGTGAAGCCAAAGTGTGCAAGCATCACCGAGGTCCTGCACGGCATCGCAAAAAGCGGCCCTCAAAGTCACAAGGGCGGCCTCGGCAGCGGCGGCCATGGAGGACCCAGAGTCCGAGGCCGAGGCAAGGGGAAGAGGCCCGAGGATGTAGTTGCCGGATGGGGCCGGGGTGTCACCGCCAGCGTCGGGCAACAAAGGCGAGCAGGGCTTGGGCACCGGCCTAGGGCGCGGGCACCAGCCAGGCAGACGCAGGCTGTCGGGAGGGCAAGCCAAGGGCGGGACGACCAAGGAAGCCAGGCCAGGAAGGGCCAGGTCAGACACACCAGAGGCAGATGCAGGGGAGTTTGATGAAAAACCCGCGACCAGTTGGAACCCGGCCTCAGTCCCATCCGATGCAAAAAGGTCCGAACCTGGGGAACCAAGGGGGCTCAGCGGAGCGCGGGCCACGACAGGGGTGCCCGGCTGGGCCTCATCCGAAGGCAGATGCAAGGATTGCCCGGGACACGGGCGAGGAGCCGGGGGCTCACAGCACGGTGCCGCAGGCAACACAGGTGCAAACGATGACGCGCCTGACAGGAGCAGACTCAGAGGAGCAACCTGTGAAAGCACGCACGAGGATTTCGGTGTTGCCTGACAAGGGCGGGGTCAAAGGCAACCCAGAAGACTGACAGCACAGGCCTCGGAGGGGAGCGGAACCTGAATCAGGGCAGCATGAAAACGTAAACCGCTACAGCAGGAAAAGTGCAAAATGTAAGCGAGCAGAGAGCTTTTGCGGTTCCGCAGGGGCAGCCAGATCCAGAACCCACCGATCGGATTCGGATGACCGGTGAGACGCAGGGAGAATGGCCACCGGAACGCGGGAGGTAGTAAAATTAAGGCCGGGTCGGAATAATGATTTATGCTTCAGAGCCCGGGGAAGAAAAGACCATAAATGCTGATACCACCGGGGCGGATCAGAGGCCATCCTCCATACAGTTATGGCATTTGTGCCCGGTGTGAGCCGTCCGGCTGTAATACAATATCGGCCGGAGGCAACAGCGCATACAGCGTGGTCCTCGCGCCGGGCAATCATGGCTACAATAGCCACGGATCCGGAGGTGCGTCAGGCCGGACGGGGGCTGCTGAATCGGCACCCATGGTGGTAAGTCCTCCAGCTCGAAGCAAAAGAGGTCCGCATAAGGCCATGTCTCCGGGTCGCGGACAAACGGGCCGGGAGAGTCCGGAAGGCAGATGGACAGGCGCATCCAGCCTTCTGACTTATTCCACGGACCGGTGTTGATGCGCCTCGGGGTCAGCGGGGCATCCGGATCGAACTGGGGCGTCACCGAGGGCCGGTTCCGGTCACAGTGCACCAGAGGCACATCCAGAGGGATAGCGCGAGTGTCGGTCCGGGCAATGCGGGCTGGCGGGAAGCTGGGCTGGGGGCGGGCCAGGTTCTCCTCAATGGCCACGGCACCATCACGGTCCGGTAAGCGGGGGCCCTCCGGCATGGAGCGTGCGCCAACCGGACGGTACTGCCCCGGAACGGAGGCGGGCCGGGTAGACTGAGCGGCCAAAACGGAGATCGGCGCCTCGACGTCGTACTGCCCCAGGTTGGCCAGGGCATAAAAGTTGTCCTGGCACACCTCGGACTGAAGCACCAGCAACCGGGATGCCTGGCTCAGCGGGAGGTCGGCCAGCCCGGCGTAGACCAAGTCATCATCTGCTTCGGAAAGGAACTCCAGCATGACTTGGCGCAAGGCGCGCTCTCGATCCGGGTCATGCGGCGGAGCCATCCACTCGGCCGGACGCTGCTCAGAGCCGGACGCTGGCTGACCGGAGCCGGAAGCTTGCTGACCCGAATCCGCCGGGCGGGTGTCTGCCGATGCCGGCGGGATCACAGCAGCAGCCGGGGGATTGGAAGGTCGGCCACCGGTCGTGGGCGGGTGCTTGGGCACCGCTTTGGTCTGGATCACCGGAGGGGCCGGCTGGATGGGAGCGGCCGGAGCAGTGCCATCACCAGCAGGAACACCAGCACCAGAGCGGGTTCCGGAGGCAGCCTTAGAGGTGGCCAAGTAACCGCCGGGGGGATCCGCAGGGGCAGCGGCAGGCACCGGTGCCGGATCAGGGACGGCGGCCGGCTGCCCATCGCCAGCATTGGCGGCCGAGGCAGTCTGATGCTGGGCCGGCGGATCAATGACCGCAGCAGCCGGGCCAGGTCCAAAGGACGGCGTAGTTGGGTCGGCTCCCAAGCCAGCCTGGGCATAGCGCAAGCCACGGGCCAGATCGCGAAGCGGATGAGATCCTCCGAAGCGGTTCATGCTGAAAGCAAAGAACGGGAGGGAGCGGGAGGCAAAATGCTTGAGAGCGGGAATGCTGCTGCATGCGCGCAACCGGAGCTCAAGCATGGTCAAGCAAATCAGAGGCGAACGGACATAGCGGGCAGTCCGGGCCTCCGCGGCGGTAGCAGCAGGGGTAGTCGCACCGAAGGTGGACGGACCGGACTGCGGCCTCAGAGAAAGAAAGTGAAAAAGGGAGCACACCGCAAGGACCGAGCGCCCGACAAGGGCACCGGAACGGAAGGTGAACGCCTGAAGCACAGCGGCAGATAAAAGTGCCCAACGTGCCGGAGTCAACCAACCTCGAAGCGGAGGAAGGGGACCGGGGGCTGCTCGAAGAAGTCGGAGAGGGCTGCCACGCGGTGACAGCCAACCGGACTACTAAGGCAATCCCGGAAACAGGCCTGACGACGACGTCCACGGCGACGACGGCGGGGCCGGGGCGTGGAGTCGGAAGAGGAACTCCTCGGCATCAAGCCGTGACAGCCTAAACTTTCACTAGCTGAACCGTACCGCATGAGGTGGCACGGACGGGCAGCTTAAGTCGAACGGCTGCGGTACGACTTGCCGTTGCGATGCTTCCGGAATAAACAAATCACGAACATTCGAATCCCCTCCCCTCTAAACCGCAAAGCCAGCAGCACAGACGACACCCTAAACGCAAAACCTTGCCCAAACCCTGAAACCCTAAAATGAACGAGCCGCGGGTACCGCTCTTGCGTGCAAGGGGTCAACCCACGTTGCCACCGATAGTCAAACGCATTAGTGTCCCCAGCATTCGGATGGTGCGTGCGCACAGCTCTGCATGCGAGCTGAACAGCCCTCTTGCCCGCACCTCCTCACAAAGTCTTTCCGTAAGGGACCGCAAGTTTTATGAGGGTTTCCCGTACAGGTAAAGGAGCACAGGTTTTTCCAAAATCGTTCGGGCTGTTGCGGGCTCTTGCCAAGCATCCTCCCAACGAAACCCACGAAAAGCTCCCGAGAAGGGCCTGTTTAGAATCTCCCTCCCCTGCATGGGGATGGGGCCCCGGTGCAGGGGCCTCCTCATATTATGAATCATAAGGGGCTCCCGGTCTCGTGAGGACCCTCCCGGACAAGGGGCTTCCGTAAACACTTCCACGCAAAGGGCGCTTATTCAACAACTTGTAAAAGCGTTCGATTGAAAACGGTCTCCTCAAGAAGGCCCCTCTGGGGAACTCAGTATGGACGAAGCAGCCTCTTCTCTCACGCTAGGAGGCTTCCTTGTAAAGGCCTGCCGTTCGAGCAATGGCACCGAAAGCCAATCCGCAAGATCCAAAGCACTTTCCGAAACAGACTCAATCTGGCACGAACCCCGAGAACGCCATAAACTGGGTGGGTGGGTTGGGAGAACCTGGGCGCACACCACAACGCACCTTGGCGATGAGCGTCGAAAGGGTGTCACGCCCTAAACCCTAAACTCTAACATACCGAATAACTGCAAACCCAATCGCTCACCACCAGGCCACATTAAACCCCGAGTCGGAAGCACCGGGGAACTTGAAAGAGGCACACTCGACAGGGAAGTGACGATGAAGCCCCTAATGTCGTATTGCTTGCCACTCTGTGCAAGCGTAGCTCCCAACTGCCGGTCAGTTAATCTGGGTATAACTGGTACGATGCGTGCATTTTCCCTCTTGCGCCTTTAAGCTGATCAAATTGGACACACCATCAAGCTTGGAGAAGGAGCTAGCCTGATTTGTCGTACGTCTGTACTGCCAACAGGAAGCCTGCTGCAAATGTCTCAATCGGCACAAAAAGAAGATACAACCACGCTGGCGGACGCGTTCTTTTGCGACAGCGTGTGTGGCCGAAACGTGGGACAGTTGCAAAATCTCTCGGAATGTGGCTGTTACCACCGACTACCTGTCGGATTCTTCTTAAGCCAGCGCTAGGCCCTGTTTGAGAGGTCACTGATCCAAGAGCAAAAACCAATCAAAATGGCTTGGAAAAACAGGCAACAATAACTTGGGCAGGACATGAGCTTTTTTTGCCGGGTGCTGCTGTCTATCCCAGATTCTCGCAACAGGTCCGTCATACTGACGAAAAGAGCGAGAAGAGCCGATTCTTCAGGTCCAAGGAGCACTCCCCCTGGAGAGCTGGACAGAGAGGGATAGCAGTCGCCCCTCCGATTCAGCGCCAGGCATCAAGTCCTTAGCAATTCCAGGCGTCAAAGAAGCCTCTGGAGTTCGGTGGAAGATTCGATGCAAGAGAAGGCGAGCTAGTTAGTAATTAGCCTGGGCGCCGCATGCCAATCATAGTGGCCGTGGACATCACCATCTTCAGCTGCCTCACAACGGAAGACACCAAGCACCAGGACCCCGTCAAGCCAGGCCTCAGGCATCTCGCTGCCGAGCCGCAGTATAGCCTGAGGTCTTTCGGAAGGAGGCTTAGGCTTAGCACCTCGTCGTTCGCACGATCCAAAGAGCCGAACTTTCAATGGGTAGCAGACAGGCAGCTCACCAGATTCAGTGGCTCCATGAACTTCAAGCGTCCCAGCTTCCAGTGCAACCGGTTTGTTTCGGTCGCAATCTGCCAGAGACGCTTGAACACCCATTGAAACCTTAGCACGGCTTACATGACGGCTGGCGTTGCGACAGCATTTCAAGTGATAGTGCGACTAGAAACCGAGCATCATCCGGATTCACCGTATACATCTTCGCCACACGCACCTCAACTCGCGGCAGCTTTCAGATCCTGCATTCTGAACAGGCCGGGCTTTGCACGATGCCTCTTCTTTGAAGTATCCGGGCCCTTGATTTCCAGAAACCAATGCCTCATACGCAAGTGACGTTAGCATCAAAATGCACAGATGGACCACAGCCTAACATGGGACCTTCTCAACACATTATTAAAGCGACTGTAAGCCCTGACATCTGCACGCTTTCATGGAAGTACCTAGACCTACTATTCACACACCAGCAAACGCACTTCGGCAGGCGTACATGTGCATGCACCACGCCACAATCGTATGTAGGTAAACTTGCATGTTTATAGCATGTCTGCATGCAGGCATGCATGCGTGCATGGATGGATGGATGGATGGATGGAGGGAGGGAGGGAGGGAGGGAGGGAGGGATGGAGGGATAAAGGGATGGAAGGATGGAAGGATGAGGATGGATGAGGATGGACGAGGATGGATGTGTGAAGGTTGGCCTACGTGCATGGACGAATGCTTTGGGTAGAATTCAAAGGGTGCTTTGAGGTCGAAGCAATGGCGCCTCCTCCCCAGGCCCGGCCAAGCGGAGCAGCTCCTCACACTCCGCCTGCAGCTCGAACAGCTCAGCGGCTTTGGTTCGAAGACACACGTAGCCCTGCATCCCGTAAGGAAATCTTCTAACTATGTCCTGTTGGCCTCTTTGGTAAGGGAACCAGGACTACCTGTGTGAACATAACAAAACCTGCCACGATGGAAGTGGCCACGCGCCTCGGAGAAAGCACCAGAGACGGCTACCTGAGCGCTGAAGCGTGAACAGATGGCAACATGACACCTAAGCTCTGCAGCCTCCCATGCTGACTTCAATGTTCGTGACACCAGCACGCGCAAACAAAATATTGCAGAGTATTGCGTCTGCCTCAAACGCCACACGAGCCCTTCAAAAATTGCATGCCTCTCGTGTTTCTCCGATCCCACTGGAATCTCGGACCTAACAAAATAGAAGTGCATTTTGGAAGTATCCGCCTCCTCTCGTTGCCATACGATACCGTGACACCAGTCAAGCCGCTGTGAAACTGCCCTTGTTGATGGAATTCAGATCCATGGACCCAGGCTCCTCGCTGTTCTCTTGGGGATACCAACTCCTCAGGTAGGCCACCTCCACTCACTCTATTTCGAAGATCGAAAGAGACAATCAGTGCATGATAAGCTTCCATCGGTTTGCCGGAAAGGCCGTAAGGACAACGGACAAGACGACGCAGCCCACGCACATCCACCAGTAGAGCTGTCTGGTTGATGCCATGGCGTGATGTCACGAGGGCTCCTTCATCTTGGCCGAAATGCTACTGTAGATTGTATACCGCGAGCGCAAACAAAGAAAGACTTCACAGGTCAGCTAAACATCTCTTCCTCTTGCACTCTTCCACCAGCCCTTGAGCCTTGAGCAACATGACAACATGCGCAGACCTCAGACCCTTGCTGCCAGCAGGAGCTTTCCTGTCTCCAAGTGTGCCGGGGATGACTTGCAGGTCGCCCGGAAGGCGCTCCCAAAGGAACCTTCGCCAAGCGGCTTCTTCTGCACGCTGTAAGCATCCTGCATCAAGTGAGGGTGCCTTTAAATTCGTCCCGGCCACGCAGACACACAACCCGAAAGAGCTAGCCAGCTTCTCCAACACCACATGAAGCAAAAGCGTATCAACTGCAGGGGAAAGCTGGGGCGGTCCTCGAGCGAACCGGCAACTTCTCGAGTGAAGTCGTGGGCAAAGACGAAAGGACCTAAGTTCTTGAGCTCCTCCCTCCCTCACCTCCGTGAATGAAACTAAGAGAACGAGCATGAACAAAACAAGCACTGGAGACAAAGACAGCTGTTACGCTGCTCTTCGGCTGCTGCCTTTATCTCGAAACGTGCGCTTTCTGAGACTCGGACCCGATGGGCTCCGTGCCAATGCCAGGGACTCGGGCGGCTCGGAGCCCTGGGAAGGCGACGCCTGAAGCGCAGAGCCGGGTCAGCCGTCCTCCGTCCTTTCACCATGCGGCCTTGCCTGGAACGACTCGTCTGCCATCAGGTCGTGTCATGAGGCATTTCAGCAAGACTCACCCTTAAACCTGGTATGCAAGGTCTTATTTCCAAGGGCTTCAGTGTTGGCGTCTGTCCAATTTCTGCCGATCCGATGCACATCACATCCTTTTGTTGGAGGCCAGCTTTCTTGCAGTCCATGACTACTTGGTTCAGAGCTCATAATAGAATAGCATCGTCCCAAGCTCTTCTCTTCCTCCAGTTTGCTTGCGGCAAGGATGGTCTCAAGTCATGCACAGCACCAGCACCTGCAGGGAAAGCGTACTGCTAGCCACACACTCTCTCAAACGGAGGCATTCTTTTTGCACCTTTTCTGAGGCCGTCAAAGCATCGCGTGCTTGCGCTGTTCACAGGCACTCCAGGCTTCGAGCCCCTGACCCTGAAAGGCCCAGAAAAATTAACGTGGATGACGAAGAACAGGAGGAGCTGGTTTAAGATGATTTAAGCACGTTGAAGGATAGTCTAGCATGCAGAAAACCACAGCAGTGCAAACACAACTGCTCGCGGAATTCCCTCTGAATCTGACGACTTGCTTGTCGCGCAGAAAGCACGGCCTCTTTGGCCATGCCAGTTCTCATTGACATCGAGCTTCTGACTCCCGGGTGGCAAGCCGTAAGCTGCGAAGGTGAAGCGAGGCTGGAGGGGTGGAGGTGCTCCAGTGCTAGTCCACGGCCTCACTATCACAAGCTGCCGACAAAGCAAAGCGAGGTCTTCTAGCTTTGCGAGGAACCTGTCAAGTTCATGTAGACAACCCACCCACTCCCTTCAAAAGCTGCCGCGATTGCACAGCGTTCTCGCACCTGTCTGCTGTTGAGGGCAGCCGTAATTCGCTCTTCGGGCACTCCTGCTGCACTGGCGGCCTGACGTTCAGCTTCAGGTATACTACTTGGTCCAGTCAGGTGCAACAGCCGCATGTGTGAGGATGATAGGGTGTCCGAGCTCATAAGCAAGCCACCTCTTTCAGGCCTTCAGCTCGAAGAGAACGTGCGGCGCCTCGATTAATCCCTCTAGAGTCCCACCACGATTTTTCAAGGGCTCACTTCTGTGAGACAGATTCAGCAGTTCAAGGTCGGAGCTGATCCGTGCATAAGGGTTTGGATCCTGCCAGCGGGCATTTAATGAGTCGGATGTGCTTTGATGTCGGTGCCGCCCTGAACCCCCACCTCCAGAAGCCGTGACAAGGCCTTCACCTCGCCGGCGGCTGCGGAGCCCAAGCGCCCCAAAACCTTTGCAGCCAGCAGGGCGATGTTGGCAGATTCGAACCTCTTTTGATTGGGGCCGTCCTCGGCGGCTCGGCGACGCAGGTCGCCGTCTTTGTCGCGGAGGGAGGGCGCAAGGGCACGGGAGGCTGCCTCATTCGACCCGTTCCGCCCCCTTTCGCACTCAGGATCACTTCAGTCTCCGGCTGGGCCCATCGAAGCAAGCACCTGTGCAGCTCGGCGTCGGCCCTGAGTTCGGCTACGATCTCGTCGGCTACGCAGCCACAGCTCACGAGGCTCGGACGGCAGGGCTCTGGTGACTGAGCATCTCAGCCGCGGCACGTGCCCCGACCTCGCCGAGCTTCTGCAGGCTGGAAGCGGCCACGCTCTGCGCCTCCTGGTGTCGCATGTCACACAGAGGCAGGCAAGACAGAGACTATGGCGGCTATGTCTAGCCGAGGACTTCTGCTCTCTCCTGCTGCTCCGAGGCCAGCTGCGTCGCCAGCGCAGAGGCACCCAGGTCACCCCTCAAACTCAACGCCTGGCAAGGAGCTTTATGCATGAAACGACCCCCGTCCGCCCTCCGCCTCGACAGCGAAGCTGCGCACAGCCGGGTCTTCTAGGCCCTCTGCCAAAGACAGGGCCGCGGCGCGGGAGAGCTTGGGGATCCTGACAAGGAAAGGACACCTCACCCTCAAAGAAGCCCAGAGCGATCCTTGTCCTGGCCCTGGCCTGGACAATCCCCAGGCTGCCGCGAGCCGAACATCGTCACAGGGATCTTTCAACCTGTGCCAGCACGACGATTCTCGTCCCATCTCATCTGCATCATCTGCTCACTGCTCACCGTGGATATACATAGAGGGCGGACAGCGGGTAGCACGTAGCATATCAAGCAAAGTATCATAATAGCAACATGATATCCACTTCGCATTGGTTTTCAGGTTGAAACCCTCGCAAGACTGAGAACATAACAAAAGTAGGTGTTTCGGATGAACTGGTTCTCCAATGCCTACAATCCCAATACGAGATTTGGAACATATGAACCATGAAAAAGGCGACTTTTTCCCAAAAGGCCCAAACCCTAACAGGCAAACTTGGACCTTGAACCCAAAACGTCCACGTCAAATAACGAGTACCGGGCACCGAAAACCACAAAAACATTGAAGGGCCCCTACCTTTTTTGGGGCTCCTTTTTGTTGTTTCTTGATAAAAAGCTCCTGAAAAAGGCTCGTCATGTTGGGTGGCGAGCTCAAGATCCCATAGGGGCAAGATGGGTACCAAACCCTAAACCGCAAATGGGGTAACCGGTTTCCAAAATGCATCTGAAACAAAAGAGGCTGAGGCAAACCCCAGACCCCAAATGGCTGGAGTTCGACCCGACCAATAGGAAAAAATGGCTGGCACAAAAAAAACATAAAAAACCTGCAACGGCTCTGATGACTGGAAGATATCCATAAACACCAACCCCAATTGGGCTGTGGATGCGTGCCAAACCAAAAACCTCAAATCTTGAGAAACAAGATGATGGGCCAAGCCCTGACAAGGTGACTCGTGTAGGGAAACATGGGTGGAGAGAGGCTCCAAAATCTGAAAACGGAGACTGAGGTGATAGGTGACAGACCCAAAGCCGAAAGTGATGTGATAGATGGCAACCCCTACATCTCAGAACGATGACTTGGTCACAGAAACCCCAACCTCTAGGCCAAACCCAATGCCTCAAAAGGAGATGACGGACCTCACCTTCTGTTGAGTTGGCATGGAGAACGCTGAAAAGGACGCAGGCTCCCCGAGAAGCCCAAAGCTTCATAGAAGATGCTGAATGTTACTTAGGCCGCTTTGCAAGGCATTGTCATTGTTTGTGTTGGGGTCCCAATTCGGCGCGAACAATGAACAAAGAAAGGCTCATTCCGAACGGGATCCATGATCGCTGTTTGTGAAATGACCTTACGAATCCGTCCAATTCACGTGAGGGTGTTGCTGCACATCCGCTGTATTCAAACTATATTGCCAATAGTACTGTGCTTTCCGTTTCGCGAAATGGATGTATTACAACAGCATTGGCAAGAACTAGGAACTCTATACCCTAAACCCCAAACCCTCAAAACCCTAAACCTATGCACAGTCATAGACCTTGCAAGAAGATGAGGCCCCACAGAGCAAACATACATGGGATGCACACCACACTATCCGCGCCTCCGGTTCGCCTTGTACTCAAGACTTGCATTCCCAACTCTGTTTCGTGTATGCCTTGTTGCGTTTCCTCTGCATGTATCCCAGAACATAGTCACAGGTAGCTGGCATAGCTTTGATGAACAGTATTAATCAGACTCCTAGTTTTGGCTCCTTTCTTCGTACAACCATTTCACAGAAGCTCTGGAAGCCAGACCATCACCTTCGACGAATAACGCTTCTACATGCCGGAATAGCTGCGATTTGATAACAAAGGAACGCGGCGTGTCTATCCAGAACAAAACTATTTCTAGACTTGGCTTCTTCACGAAAAAACGCCAATGAGCTCACAGGACTCCAAGCGAGGAGTGGCATTCAGGATGGGCCTGGATCCTACAAACAAAACGCGGCTGGAATTGATGTGATTTTAGCCGTCGCCCAGTCTTTTCATGTGTATGTGCGTGTGTTTGGTTGTTGGCATCGACCTGCAAGCTTCTATTCGATCTTGCCCGTCGGCCTGTCCACGAGGGCATCACTGCCCAAATCACCTGCCATGGCCAACGCTTCTGCGGCGTTCTGTCGGCCCAGAGGGTCGGAACCTGGACAGTTAGACGTGGGACCAAACCACACTTTGGAAGCAGAGCAAAGATTTTGGGCAGTGGCGAAGGCGCCTCCCAGGGCTGCATGCAGGGCTTGGACGCCGGTCGGCCCAGAAGCCAAGAGCGACGTCATGGCCATGCGATGAGTGAGGTTGTCGCGGTCCTTACCCGGGAGACTGCGACTTCGGCCCAAGTCACGGAAAGCATCACTCGGCGGTCTCATGGCCTCTCCCAACTGCGAGGCCAGAGCCTGAGCTCC